GCTTGATTTGTGACCCAAGATATGATGTATCCTGGAGAATGTTCCATGAGCACTTGAGAAAAATGTGTATTCTGTTGTTTTTGGATGGAGTGTCCTATAAATATCAATTAAGTCCATCTTGTTTAATGTATCATTTAAAGCTTGTGTTTCCTTATTTATTTTCATTTTGGGTGATCTGTCCATGGGTGAAAGTGGGGTGTTAAAGTCCCCTACTATGAATGTGTTACTGTCGATCTCCCCTTTTATGGCTGTTAGTATTTGCCTTATGTATTGAGGTGCTCCTATGTTGGGTGCATAAATATTTACAATTGTTATATCTTCTTCTTGGATCGATCCCTTGATCATTATGTAGTGTCCTTCTTTGTCTCTTGTAATAGTCCTTATTTTAAAGTCTATTTTGTCTGATATGAGAATTGCTACTCCAGCTTTCTTTTGGTTTCCATTTGCATGGAATATCTTTTTCCATCCCCTTATTTTCAGCCTGTATGTGTCTCTAGGTCTGAAGTGGGTCCCTTGTAGACAGCATATATAAGGGTCTTGTTTTTGTATCCATTCAGCCAATCTGTGTCTTTTGGTGGGAGCATTTAGTCCATTTACATTTAAGGTAATTATCGATATGTATGTTCCTATTCCCATTTTCTGAATTCTTTTGGGTTCGTTATTATAGGTCTTTTCCTTCTCTTGTGTTCCTTGTCTAGAGAAGTTCCTTTAGCATTTGTTGTAAAGCTGGTTTTGTGGTGCTGAACTCTCTCAGCTTTTGCTTGTCTGTAAAGGTTTTAATTTCTCCATCAAATCTGAATGAGATCCTTGCTGGGTAGAGTAGTCTTGGTTGCAGGTTTTTCTCCTTCATCACTTTCAGTATGTCCTGCCACTCCCTTCTGGCTTGTAGGGTTTCTGCTGAGAGATCAGCTGTTAACCTTATGGGGATTCCCTTGTGTGTTATTTGTTGTTTTTCCCTTGCTGCTTTTAATATGCTTTCTTTGTATTTAATTTTTGACAGTTTGATTAATATATGTCTTGGCATATTTCTCCTTGTATTTATCCTGTATGGGACTCTCTGTGCTTCCTGGACTTGATTAACTATTTCCTTTCCCATATTAGGGAAGTTTTCAACTATAATCTCTTCAAATATTTTCTCAGTCCCTTTCTTTTTCTCTTCTTCTTCTGGAACCCCTATAATTCGAATGTTGGTGCGTTTAATGTTGTCGCAGAGGTCTCTGAGACTGTCCTCAGTTCTTTTCATTCTTTTTTCTTTATTCTGCTCTGCAGTAGTTATTTCCACTATTTTATCTTCCAGGTCATTTATCCGTTCTTCTGCCTCAGTTATTCTGTTATTGATCCCATCTAGAGTACTTTTAATTTCATTTATTGCATTGTTCATCATTGCTTGTTTCATCTTTATTTCTTCTAGGTCCTTGTTAACTGTTTCTTGCATTTTGTCCATTCTACTTCCAAGATTTCGGATCATCCGTACTATCATTATTCTGAATTCTTTTTCAGGTAGACTGCCTATTTCCTCTTCATTTGTTAGGTCTGGTGCATTTTTATCTTGCTCCTTCATCTGCTGTGTGTTTTTCTGTCTTCTCATTTTGCTTATCTTACTGTGTTTGGGGTCTCCTTTTTGCAGGCTGCACGTTCGTAGTTCCCATTGTTTTTGATGTCTGTCTCCAGTGGCTAAGGTTGTTTCAGTGGGTTGTGTAGGTTTCCTGGTGGAGGGGACTAGTGCCTGTGTTGTGGTGGATGAGGCTGGATCTTGTCTCTTTAGTGGGCAGGTTCACGTCTGGTGGTGTGTTTTGGGGTGTCTGTGGCCTCATTATGATTTTAGGCAGCCTCTCTGCTAATGGGTGGGGTTGTGTTCCTGTCTTGCTAGTTGTTTGGCATAGGTTGTCTAGCACTGTGGCTTGCTGGTCATTGAGTGAAGCTGGGTGCTGGTGTTATGATGGAGGTCTCTGGGAGATTTCCGCCGTTTAGTATTATGTGGAGCTGGGAGGTCTCTTGTTGACCAGTGTCCTGAAGTTGGCTCTCCTACCTCAGAGGCAGAGCCCTGACTCCTGGCTGGAGCACCAAGAGCCTTTCATCCACACGGCTCAGAATAAAAGGGAGAAAAAGTAGAGAGAATTAGTAGAAGTATGAGGAAAGAAAGAAGGAAAGGAAGAAAGGAAGGAAGGAAGAAAGAAGCAAAGAAGGAAAGAAAGGAGGGAGGGAGGGAGGGAGGAAGGAAGGAAGGAAGGAGGGAAAGAAGGAAAAAAGACAGAAAGAAAGAAGATACAGTAAAAATAAAATGAAGTATAATATAGTTATTGAATTAAAAAATATTTAGAAAAAAAAAAGGGACGGATAGAACCTTAGGACAAATGTTGGAAGCAAAGCTATACAGAGAAAATCTTACACAGAAGCATACACATACACCTTCACAAAAAGAGGTAAAGGGGGAAAAATCATAAATCTTGCTCTCAGAGACCACCTCCTCAATTTGGGGTGATTCGTTGTCTAAAGGAGGGAAGGAAGGAAGGAAAGAAAGAAAGAAAGAACGAAGGTAAAGTATAATAAAGTTATTACAATTAAAGTTAATTATTGAGAAAAAAATTTTTTTTTAAAAAACCATGGACAGATAGAGCCCTAGGACAAATGGTGGAAGCAAGAGTATACAGGCAAGATCTCACACAGAAGCATACACGTACCCATTCACAAAAAGAGGAAAAGGGAAAAAAATCATAGATCTCGCTCCTAAATTCCACCTCTTCAATTTGGGATCATTCCTTGTCTATTCAGCTATTCCACAGATGCAGGGTATATCAAGTTGATTGTGGAGCTTTAATCCGCTGCTTCTGAGGCTGCTGGGAGCGATTTCCCTTTCTCTTCTTTGTTCTCACAGCTCACAGGAGCTCAGCTTTGGATTTGGCCCTGCCTCTGCGTGTAGGTCGCTGGAGGGCGTCTGTTTTTTGCTCAGACAGGACAGGGTTAAAGGAGCCGCTGATTCGGGGGCTCTGGCTCACTCAGGCCGGGGGTGGGGGGGGGGAAGGAGGGGCACTGCGTGCGGGGCGGGCCTGCGGCGTCAGAGGCGGTGTGACGTTGCGGCAGAGGCCGGCGTGACGTTGCACCAGCCTGGGGCCCGCTGTGCGTTCTCCCGGGGAAGTTGTCCCTGGTTCCCGGGAACCTGGCAGTGGCGGGCTGCACAGGCTCCGCGGAAGAGGGGTGTGGAGAGTGACCTGTGCTCGCACACAGGCCCCTTGGTGGCGGCAGCAGCAGCCTTAGCGTCTCCCGCCCGTCTCTGGGGTCCGCGCTTTTAGCCGCGGCTCACGCCCGTCTCTGGGGTTCGCGCTTTTAGCCGCGGCTCGCGCCCGTCTCTGGGGTTCGCGCTTTTAGCCGTGGCTCGCGCCCGTCTCTGGAGTTCCTTTAAGCAGCACTCTTAAACCCCTCTCCTCGCGCACCAGGAAACAAAGAGGGAAGAAAAAGTCTCTTGCCTCTTCGGCAGGTGCAGGCTTTTCCCCAAACTCCCTCCCGGCTAGTCGTGGTGCACTAACCCCTTCAGGCTATGTTCAAGCCGCCAACCCCAGTCCTCTCCCTGCGCTCCATCCAAAACCGAAACCCGAGCCTCAGCTCGCAGCCCCGCCCGCCCCGGCGGGTGAGCAGACAAGCCTCTCGGGCTGGTGAGTGCCGGTCGGCACCGATCCTCTGTGCGGGAATCTCCCCGCTTTGCCCTCCGCACCCGTCGCTGTGCACTACTCCGCGGTTCCGAAGCTCCCCCCTCCGCCTCCCGCAGTCTCCGCCCGCGGAGGGGCTTCCTAGTGTGTGGAAACTTTTCCTCCTTCACAGCTCCCTCCCACTGGTGCAGGTTCCGTCCTTATTCTTTTGTCTCTGTTTTTTCTTTTTTTCTTTTGCCCTACCCAGGTACGTGGGGAGTTTCTTGCCTTTTGGGAGGTCTGAGGTCTTCTGCCAGCCTTCAGTAGGTGTTCTGTAGGAGTTGTTCCACGTGTAGATGTATTTCTGGTGTATCCGTGGGGAGGAAGGCGATCTCTGTGTCTTACTCTTCCGCCATCTTCAAGGTCCCCTCCTTTGGATAGGAAATTTACCAATACACACTTAAGACTTCAAGTCTTAAGATAACAGCTCAAATAAAAGTCATGTGCCATCACTTAATACAAGGAGATTCAGATATCAGGAAAAACTCACTGAATCACCTGAAAGGTGCTGTGAAGCTGGAGGAGCTCAAGGGGCCGGCCCAGGTTTGATACCAAGCGCCACTCCAAAGTAGACCCCAGGTGACCTCAAATGGGTTTTTCTGATATCCTACCGACCATGTCAAATAATGTCTATGAAAATGATCAATAACCAATCAATAATAAGAATAGAAAAGAGTTTTATTTGAGCTAAACTGAGGACTAGCCCAGACGCCTGCTTCTCAGATGACTCTGAGAAACTGCTCTGGAAAAATCAGTGTTTCCAGCACTGTTTTACCTTGTCAGAACAAAGAACATTAAACAAGTCAGCGATACATTTCTTCAAGGTTTCAAAAAACAGACCAGCACGTACACATACAGCACATCCAGACTGGCCTTGGCACCTGGGAAGGGAGTCTTATCATAAAAGGAGGACCAGCATTGGTGTCCCAGGAAAAGAAGAATTTAATCTTTATTTTTAACATGAACATGCTATACTTCTGGTCAACGTGCCCTTTCCTTTAATAATTAAAGCAGATGTACAACATATGTGTGATAGGCCACTACCAGACTATTTTAGTTAGCATAAAATTCATATTAACTCATGTATAAGCCAGAATGACTTCCCTATATTTCAATATGTGAAAGTTTCTTTCATCACCTTCCCCCTCTCTATCTCTCTGAGGCCTCCAGGAAAGACAGGACTAGTTCACTGTCACACATGATGCAGGGAGTCTAGCTGGACTATTGTTTTTCTACCCTCAGTCCTGGGCATAATTTTGTATACTATCTGTGCATGTTCGCTGACCAGGTGTCTGTTCAGACCTTTCCCAATTTTTAAAAAATATGGAGCGTTTCATGAATTTGCATATCATTTTTACTCAGGGTTCATGGTAATTTTATTGTTCCGACTTTTAGTATATGTGCTGCCGAAGCAAACACTTTTCCTAGTTTTAATGGGGTTGTCTGCGTTAGAGTTGTGTGTGTGTGTCTATAGTTTTATTGAAGTATAGTTGATTTACAATGTTGTGTTCATTTCTGCTGTACAGCAAAGTGATTCAGTTTACATATACATATTCTTTTTCATATTCTTTTCCATTATGGTTTATCCCAGGATATTGACTATTGTTCCCTGGGCTATACAGTAAGACCTTGTTGTTTATCCATCCTGCATATAACACTTTTCATCTGCTAAACTCAAACTCCCAATCACTCCTTCCCCCATCCCCATATGCCCTTGTCAACCACAGGTCTGTTTTCTATATCTTTGTGTATGTTTCTGTTTCACTGATATGTTCATTTGTGTTGTATTTTAGGTTCCACATATAAGTGATATCGTATGGTATTTGTCTTTCTCTTTCTGACTTCACTTAGTATGATCTCTAGATCCATCCATGTTGCTGCAAATGGCATTATTTCATTCTTTTTTATAACATATGTAAAGTGATTCATTATATATATGTCACATCTTCTTTATCCATTCATCTGTCGATGGACATTTAGGTTTCCATGTCTTGGTTGTTGTAAATAGTGCTGCTATGAACATAGGGGGGCATGCATCTTTTTAAAGTATAGTTTTGTTTGGATATATGCCCAGAAGTGGGATTGCTGGATTACATGGAAACTCTCTTTTTAGTTTTTTGAGGAACCTCCATACTATTTTCCATAGTGGCTGCACCTATTTACATTCCCACCAACAATACAGAAGGGTTCCCTTTTCTCCACACCCTCTCCAGCATTAGTTATTTGTAGACTTTTTGATGATGGCCATTCTGACTGGTATGAGGTGGTACTCATGATAGTTTTGATTTGCATTTCTGTAATAATCAATGATGATGAGCATCTTTTCATGTGCCTATTGGCCATCTGTATGTGTGGAGATATGTCTATTTAGGTCTTCTACCCATTTTTCTATTGGGTTGTTTGTTTGCTGTTAATGAATTGTATGAGCTGTTTGTATATTTTGAAAATTAAGTCATTATCGATCACATCATTTGCAAATATTTGCCCTTGGTTTGTAGGTTGTCCTTTCATTTTGTTTATGGTTTCCTTTGATGTCCAAAAGCTTATTAATTTGATTATTTCCCATTTGTTTATTTTTGCTTTTATTTCTATTGCCTTGGGAGACTGACCTAAGAAAACATGGGTAAAATTTATGTCAGAGAATGTCTTGTCTATGTCCTCTTTTAGGAGCTTTATGGCATCATGTCATATATTTAAGTCTTTAAGCCATTTTGAGTTTATTTTTGGGTATGGTGTGAGGGTGTGTTCTAACTGCATTGATTTGCATGCAGCTGTCTAACTTTCCCAGCACCACTTGCTGAAGAGACTTTTTCCCATTTTATATTCTTGCCTCCTTTGTCGAAGATTAATTGACCATAGGTGTGTGGGCTTATTTCTGGGCTCTCTGTTCTGCTCCATTGATCTGTATGTCTTTTGTTGTGCTGATACCACACTGTTTCAATTACTGTAGCTTTGTGGTATAGTCTGGAGTCTGGGAAGGTTATGCCTCCTGCTTTGTTCTTTTTCCTCAGAATTACTTTGGCAATTCTGGGTCTTTTATGGTTCCATATAAATTTTAGAATTATTTGTTTCAGTTCTGTGAAAAATGTTGTGTAATCTGATAGGGATTGCATTAAATCTATAGATTGCTTTGGATAGTATAGCCATATTAACAATATTAATTCTTCCAATCCAAGAGCATGGGGTATCTTCCATTTCTTTGAATTATCTTTAATTTTCTTTATTAATGTGTTATAGTTCTCAGCATATGTGTTTCACCTCCTTGGTCACGTTAATTCCTATTTATTTATTTGTTTGTTTGTTTGATTTTCAAAGGGATTGTTTGTTTACATTCCCTTTCTGATATTTCATTGTTAGTGTAAAGAAATGCAACCGATTTCTGTATGTTAATCTTGTATCCTGCTACCTTGCTGAATTCGCTTATCAGTTCTAATATTTTTTGTGTGGAGTCTTTAGGGTTTTCTATATATAGTATCATGTCATCTGTATATACTGAAAATTTTACCTCTTTCCTACCAGTTTGAATACCTTTTATTTATATTTTTCTTGTCTGATTACTCTGGCTAGAACTTCCAGTACAATGTTGAATAGAAGTGGTGAGAGTGGGTATCCTTTTCTTCTTCCAGATATTACTTGGTAGGCTTTCAGCTTGTCACTGTTGAGTATTATATTGGCTGTGAGTTGGCCATAAACAACATTTATTATGTTGAGAAATGTTCCCTCTATACCCACTTTGGTAAGAGTTTTTTTTTTTTTATCATGAATGGATGTTGAATTTTATCAGATGCCTTTATTCTGCATCTATTGAGATGATCATTGGTTTTGTCTTTTCTTTTGTTGTTGTGGTGTATCACATTGATTTCCATATGTTGAACCATCCTTGTGACCCTGGGATGAATCCAACTTGGTCATGGTGTACAATCTTTTTTATGTGTTGTTGGATTCAGTTTGCTAATATTTTGTTGAGAATTTTTGCATCTATATTCATTAAAGATATTGGCCTGTAATTTCTTTTCTTGATACTGTCTTTGGTATCAGGTTGATGATAGCTTCAAAGAATGTCTTTAGGAGTGTTCCTTCCTGTTCAATCTTTTGGGAGAGTTTGACAACAATCAGTATAAGTTCTTCTTTGTATGTTTGGTAGAACTCACCTGTGAAGCCATCTGGTCCTAGACTTTTTTTGTAGGGTTTTTTTTTTGTTTTCAGATTCTATTTCATTTCTAGTGATTGGTCTATTGAAGTTATCTATTTCTTCTTGATTCAATTTTGGTGGGTTGTGTGTTTCTAGAAACTTGTCCATTTCTCTAGGTTGCAAATTTTTTGGCATACCATTGTTGATAGTATTCTCTTATGTTTTGTATTTCTGGGGTATCAGTTGTGATTTATACTCTTTCATTTCTTATTTTGTTTATTTGGGTCTTCCTTCTTGTCTTCTTGGTGAGCCTGGCCAGAGGTTTGTCAATATTTTTTACCCTTTCAAAGAAAGCTCTTGATTTTATTGATTTTTTTCTGTTGTTTCTTTTTGATCTTTATTTAATTTCCTCTCTGATCTTTATTTTTTTACTTCCATCTGCTGACTTTAGGCTTTGTTTGTTCTTCTTTCTCTAACTATTTTAGGTGGTGGATTTGGCTTTTTATTTGACATATTTCTTGTTTCTTGAAGAAAGCCTGTGTTGCTATGAGCCTCCCTCTAAGAACTACTTTTGCTGCATCCCATAGATTTTTTATGGTTGTGTTTTCACTGTCATTTCTCTCAAGCTTATTTTTAAATTTCTTCTTGATTTCATCATTGATCCATTGTTTTTTTAATAGCATGTTTAGTCTCCATGTAATCATTTTTTTACTTGTTTCTTTTTTCATGGTTGTTTTCTAGTTTCATGACATTGCGGTCAGAAAAGCTGTCTGAAGAAGTTTCTATCCTCTTAACTTTGTTGAGCCTTGTTTTGTGCCCTAGTATGTGGTCAATTCTAGAGAATGTTCCCTGTACACTCAAAAAGAATGTGTATTCTGTTTTTTGGGGATGTAATGTCCTGAAAATACCAATTAAGTATAACTGTTCTATTGTATTATTTAGGATCTCCGTTGCCTTATTGATCTTCCATCTTGAAGATCTGTCCATTGATGAGGGCGGGGAGTTAAATTCTACTATTATTGTATTATTGTCAGTTTCTCCCTTTATGTCTGTTAGTACTTTTTTATGTATTTGGGTGCTCCTATATTGGGTGCATATATATTGACAGTTGTAATATCCTCTTCTTGCATTGCTTTTATCATTCTATAATGACCTTCTTTATCTTTCTTTTTAGTCTTTGTTTTAAAGTCTAAATTGTCTCATATGAGTATTGTGACTTCTACTTTCTTCTCATTTCCATTTGTATGAAATATCTTTTTCCATCTCCTCACTTTCAATCTATGTGTATCCTTTGTGCTGAAGTGGGTCTCTTGAAGGCAGCATATTGTATGCTCTTGTTTCTCTATCCAATCTGCCACTCTATGTCTTTTGATAGGAACACCTAATCCTTTGACATTTAAGGTAATTATTGATAGTGTTTTCCCATTTATTTTGTATTTCTTCTTTGTCCGTTTTGTTTTTCTTTTTTTCCTTTTATGGTTTGATGACTTTCTTTTGTATTAGCCTTGTGTTCTCTTCTTTTGGGTTTTTGTGTATCTGTTGTATGATTTTGATTTGATGTTATCCTGTTTTTCAAGTATGTTAACTCCTTCCTATATCTACATTCCTTAGACTGGTAGTCATATAGTATCAAACACATTCTGGGGGGGAAAAAAAACCCTATATTTTCATAGTATCCTCCATCACGTTTTATGATTTTCATGTTCTCTTTTACATCATCATGTTCATCCTTTTTTTATTCATTGTGGTTATCATCACTTCATATAAATCTTTTCTTTTCTTTTTTTTTTTTAAATCTGTGTACTGGCTTCTTTAAGTGATTTACTTTCCAATCATGATTTTCTCTTTCCTACAGATTCTTCATTCTTTTTCTTTTTCTTTTATTGGAGCATAGTTGATTTACAATGTTGTGTTAGTTTCAAGTGTACAGCAACGTGATTCATTTATACACATACATATATTCATTACTTTTTAGATTATTTTCTCATATAGGTTATCACAGAATATTGAGTTGAATTCCCTGTGCTATACAGTAAGTCTTTGTCAGTTATCTATCTTACATATAGCAGTGTGTCTACATTCATCCCAAGTTCCTGATTTATCCCTCCCCTCCACGTTTCCCCTTTGGTAACCATAAGTTTGTTTTTGATATCTGTGAATCTGTTTCTGTTTTGTAAATAAGTTCACTTGTATCATTTGTTTAGATTCCACATATAAGTGATATCATATGATATTTGTCTTTCTCTGTCTGACTTGCTTCACTTAGTATGATCATCTCTAAGTCCAT